TTCTTTGAATTCACCAGGTGAAAGAGACCCCACCATCTCTCTGGGTTATTGGATCAAGTTGTGAACTGCTCTTACTGTTAGGAAGATTTTTCTAACATTAAATGAGAGTCTGCCTTCTTGCAACTTACATTCTCTATTCGTTGCCCTGTACTTTGATGGGTGTGAGAACAAGTTTTGAGATTCTTCTCCATGACATTTTTTTCTGGGCTATTACATCTGCCCCCCACCCCCACCTCCAGTCATCTTTTCCGAAAACTAAACAAACTCAGCACCTTCTATCTGAGGTTTACTTTCTGTCTCCTGATATCTTTATTGCTCTTCTCTGTACCTGCTTTAATTTCTCTAAATAAAGTATTCTGTCCAGAACTGAGGTAGGGTCTGACCAAAGCAAAACAGAATACAATGATTACTTTCCATGATTTGGTGATCTGGAAATTAAGCTTCTGATGATGCAACCTAAAATGGCATTTGTCATTTTTGTTGTTGCCACATCACACTGCTGGCTCACAGGAGTGTGAAATCAACTGTCATTCTTGGTAGCATTACCACATCAGATATCCCCTATCCTATATGATGCATTTGATGTTTACTTCCTAAATAAAAATTACACATATATTCCAAAAGGAATTTATGATAGAGATTTTATCATAATTAAAACTGTTATAAAACTGGTCAAAGTTTTCACAGGCCTTAAGCACAATGATTATTTGGCCTGTTGAATGATTGGACCCTGAACTCAAGTGTTCTGTTGGTCTCCACAGAGAGCAAAGCCAACATGTTTGCCGTGCATGATGATCTCATCTAGACCAGTTTGAAAAATACCTTCTGGAGCTCACTGGAAAACAAGGAGAATGATAAATCCAGTCAGCAGTAGCCAGCAGAACACATAAGCAGATGTGTTACTTTCAGCTGTGAGAAGGAGGAACTGGAAAGAATCAGGTTGTTCACGTGAACCATTTAGTATAGCCCATAATACTTTCCCACTGTTTTTTTGCTGAGAAAGCTACCATTTTAAATCTAGAGAACGTGTGGCAGAACTTGGTGTTAGGTTTATGCAAAGGCTTCATTTCAGAAGATGATTACCAGTCCTAAATCCTTGGATTTACATGCACAACTAATTCTATAAAGGATTTTATTTTTTTTACCATAAAAATCTAGTCCCATACCTGTTTCCCATCCAAGCCAGGCTTCCCAGGAAAACCGTCAAGGCCACGTTCTCCCTGAGCAAAGAAACATAAAAACACTATTGGAGATCTCATTCCATGAAGTAGTCTTGGAAGAGCTGAATTCTCATGCATACATTTACCAGGGATTAAACATGTAAGTAGATTGATTCAGATGGCTGGCTTTTTAAAACTATTTCTTGCTTGATTTCCTATTATGGATTCTGAACTCCAGCCTGTACTTATCCTGTACCTGATTTTGACTGCTTTGTTCTCACTTGTCCAGGATGACACCCATTACCAGTCCATCTTTGGACAATATCTACTACCTCCAGCCCATTCCCTCTACTGTTTTGCCAAAATTAGACCCAGAAGGTCCCATGCTTACTTGCTTCAGTGCTGGGATTGAGAACATCTGAAAGGTAGTGAATTAATTATTTGACAAATTCCTATATGAACTGACATCTTTATGCAGACCATGTTTGGTCAATCCAATTGGCTGAGTCATCTCCTTTCCCCCAGGCAGTCCTCACTCTTAACCCCAGGCACACCAGCAATGAATGACTCTTGATCACTTAGTTCACCGAAACCAACATTTTCTGAGTCCACCCAGCTGTTACAAAAAAATCTGGGTGGCTTT